CTCGACGCCCGATCGAAACGCCGGCCCTTGCCACTGCAGACGCCTTGACGGGGCCGTTGAGGCCACGCCCTGGCCTCCAGACCTCGATGCATCATCGGCCCATGGATTTGATGGTTAGTCGACATGCCGCTGCTATGCCTCTCTTAGTCTCCCGACAGTCGGTAACCCGGCATCCTGAATTTCCTCCACCCGTAGCCGGAGTAGCCGGCTTTCGCGGCCAGCTCGGAGCTCCGGCCTGGCCAGGTGCAGTTGCCTTGCCAGCCGGGCGACAACAGCACACGATCGGTCACCATCTAGGCGGTCAGCTGCCGACGTCGGAGTCTGTGGGGACTGTTCTGATGAATCAACCAGCATCTTCAACGTCCGTGCCGATGACATCCGCGCTAACAGCGACGTCGGCTGGCTCGGTGGTAGGTGGCGCAGGACCAGACTCCTTCTTTACTAGTCAGATGACTGCTTTCAACGTCTGGCTTCAGACTGCTGATGAAAAGAAGCCACCAGCCACACAATTGCCTATCCTACTGCAGGTGATTTATCATTCTTTCCTCACTGTAATACCCCTTGTCTTCCTCAGTGTCTATTCCGGAGATTAACTTTCTAGAGCAGATAACTCCCTTATTTTAGTGTCTATTTTTTACCGCTGGCCTGTTCAAGCTTGCTTTGTGCACGAAGTTTCGTCTCATGCTTTTGGTTGGGTGTAGCCCTTGCTTAAAAAATTTAATGAAGGTACCTTCTACCTAAGAAATTCATATTACTTATCCCCTCAATGAGCAACGTACTGAATTGCTTACTTGCTGGTCATTTGGATAAAGTCTACCAGGACTTTTTTGTTAATACCTTCTACTTCAAGGCTGTTAGGCCCTATCAGATTAAAAGCTGGTTGTCATTCTTAAGCAAAAGTAGAATAAAAACCAAGCTCTCATTTTTTTAAACCATTGATGAATTGCTTTAAAAGAGATGAACTGGATTTGGAAACTAAATTAAGGTTGGTTGAGAGCCTAACACTTTCATCTTTATCGAATCATTTTTATAAACAGTTCTAAATAATAATTTTTATATATTTACTTTATTCAAAATTTGTAAGAATTTCGACTTACATTTCATAAACAGATGGTTTAATCATATGCAGCATCGGCTTGGACAGCTTTAAGAAAAATTAAATAGCG